CCCCTCCTCCTCCCCGTCCTCCCCCTCCTCCCTGTCCTCAGGGCTGCAGAACCTTTGCTGGAGCAGCGGCCCCGCCCACCACGGCCCCAAGGCCAGGCTCCCCTCCACATGGGCTTCACCCCCCGAGGCTCCCTGCCCCGCCCACCCTGTGTCCTGGCTGCGACCCCTCACGCCCTCCGACCTCACAGTCCCCGGTGACAGACAAGCCTGAGCTGTCCCACACTGACCCCTGCGGCCTCCCTCGGGCCCTGGCGGGAGCAGCCACCTCAGGCGCTACCTGGTGATTATCCAGGAGGAACCGGCCACCAGGCTCCCGCCTCCTGCTCACACCGACTGCAGGCGTCACCACGGCTCCCCTTCCTGTGGGCTGCACGTTCCAGAACCCCCTCCCCCATCTCCCAGGGACCCCGGGAGCTCTCTCACAGCAGCTCCCAGCTGTCCCCCGACCCACACGGGAACGCGCCAGCACAGCAGGCCAGGACGGACCAGCTCCCACCGCCTGCTGCTGGTGGTCAAGCTGGCGCCCAGGACCGTCCTCTCTGGCCAGCACGTGGCTACGAGCCCTTCGTTAGGGCGCTGTCGGCCTCCAAGGTCCTGGTTTAGCAACAGGTGCTCACAGGTCTGACCGGGACTGGCCACAGCTACCTCCCACCCAGGACGGAGCGCCTGTCCACGCCTGCTCACGGCTAACGGCCGGCAGGGACCTCGTCTGTGGACACGGGGACCTCTGAGGACTCCACGTCTAAGTAGACTCACCTCCGTGTTCTAGAAAGACTCGGACGCATCTTTCCTTTCCTCTGGCTGCTGAGAAGTGGAGCAGGGTCCAGCCGTTCGCATCCCGGCCATTCGGGGAATAGCCCTGTTCTAGCATCTTCCGGACGGTGTGGACATCCCCGGCGGCCACCGCAGCCTGGATCTGCAACTCTTCCTGGAGCTCAGGGTTCCTCCGACAGTGGTGGTGTAACATCCTAGCGGAGTCCACTGCTCAGCAGCAGTTCCCAGGACGGGCACCTCAGGGCCGTCCTCACGCTCTGGTGCTTCACAGGAGCCTCGCGGGGAGTTTCCCGCCAACCAGCGGCTGCTTCTCAGCGG